GCTGTTCTGTGAACCGGTACCTGGTATCTGCAACCGGTACCTGGTATCTGCGAGCGGCCCCCTGTGTCTCTGGGGCTCAGGCAGCCCCCGCCCCGCCGGCTGGCCGGTGGCTTGGCGCTCTGCCGTGCGGCCAGTAAAGGTTGGGGGAGGGGTCTTCGCTCTTCTCTGTTCTGAAATTCTTTTCCTCTCTTTCTTTTTTTATTATTTTTCACCTTTAGTTTTTCTCTGAGTGTTCGTCTTTTTGTTGTTGTCGGTCTCTTGGGGAGATTAAGCGTTGGAACTCGAACTCTCTTTTTGGTTGGAGAGAGCTGTGGCGTTTCCCTACTGCCCCGTCGCCATCTTGGTCCCCCCTCTTTACCTGCTTTTTTGAGATGGGGATTCACTGTGTTGCTCAGACTAACCTTGAATTCACAATCCTTCGACATAAGCCTCTTTCCTGTCTTCTAATTTTTTTTCTTTATAATCTGTATAGTGCTGGGGATTGTATTTAGAGCCTCACTCATGCTAGACAAACATTGTGCCATTATCTCTTGAGTTTTATTTTTGTTGTTTTTGTTGTTGTTTGGTTGGTTTTGAGACTGTCTTATGCAGTTCAAGATGGTTCTTGCCTCTGCCTTTTTTCTTTCTTTTCACCTTACTTGTAACAACTTGTTCTGGGCCTGTGAGGTTTAAAAGAGCTCTTTGTTCCTTGACTTACGGAATTTTTGATAACTAGAAGTGTCTGGTATAGTAATATATAGTAAAGGAATCGGATCTAAGATATCTGTATGTTAATTTATCAAAAAGACTAGTTCTATTAGGAAGGGAAAGACTGAGCTTCTAAGTGAAGAGGAAATGGAGAAAGGAGCAGGGGCCATACTGGAGAAATTTAGAAAGAAAAGTTGGGGAGAGAGTAGCATGGTAGGAAGCATTGTCCACATTCTTTCCAGCTACTTCTTTATTCAAATAGTAAATGATTTATTTCTGCTTTATATTGTTGTACATGTAAATTGCATTCTAATAGTTTGTTCAACTTTGTTTTCTTTCTTACTAATAGGTGACAATATTTTAGCAGTCCTTAAATATCTAGCTACATCTGATATGCTAGCTTCTTCATCTGAGTATCGACATGGAAACATGGTCTTTTTTGATGTTCTTGGCCTGTTTGTCATTGCCTACCCATCCCGTATTGGCACAATCATAAACTACATGGTAGTAATGGCAGTTGTTTTGTATCTGGGCAAAAAATTGTTGCAGCCCAAATATAAGAGTAAGTACTTTCTCTAAAATGTAAATACAGTCATGGGTATAGGATTTGTTAGAAAGTTTTAGTCACTGTGTTTGTATCTTCCCAGGAAGTTAAACAATCTTTATAATACTTGGTTTGTATTTTAAGAAATTCCTAACTAAATATTAAATTGACATACACACTTTCTTGATGAAAGAGACTATTTTCATGGAAGTACCACTTAGGTGTTATTGAAAAATAGCTTATACAGATTGACTTTTACTAAAAAGTCCCATTAAAAAGTCTTTCAAGGTGGGCATTCATGGCTCATGCCTATAATCATAGCTACTCAGAAGGCTGAGATATGAGGATCGCAGTTCAAAGCCATTCCGTGCAGGAAAGTCTGTGAGACTCTTACCTCCAATTGAACACTAGAAAACCAGAAGTGGCGCTGTTGCTCAAAGTGGTAGAATGCTAGCCTTGAGCTGAAGAGCTCCAGGACAGTGCACAAGCCCACAGTGCAAGCCCCACAACCAACAGTAACAACAAAAAACCAAATGTCTTTTGAGATGTGGAAGTATGGCTCAGGTAGAGTACCAGCTTTGAGTGAAAAAGCCAAGCACAAGTTATGAGGCCCTGAGTTCAAGCATCACTAGTGGCACCAAAAAAGAAAAAAAAGTTTTTTTTTCCACTATTGACCAGTAACACACTTTTCTGAGGTATGAATGAACTGCATTTTGTTAAATTGTTTCCTTCTGTTTGAAATATTTCAGTCCTAAGTTGTGAAGTGTTGTTACAAGATAAAATGTATCTTTATCACATTATTTACCCCATGTCCTTATCTTCCTATATTAGCTTCTTTAGCAAGATTTTATATAGAATTTTGCCTTCTGTACTTGCTAATATTTTGGTACACAAAGCATCCCAAAGATGAGGAAGACTAAAACTACCCACTTCCCTAGTAAGGGATGTTTCTGAATTGTTTCTACAAGATATATCTCTGAGTTTCTAGTATCCACAGACTTTCAGTAAGTGTTCCCTGAATACTAGTCTTCATATTTTCCCTGTTTTAGTGTTTAACAACCTCAACAATTGGACATTCTAGTTCTTTATAGTGGTAAATATTTTGTTTTAGCAACTGGTGATGTAATTGATTTGATGAAAATGGTGACCATAATTTTTTGTTTTTTTCTTCATTAGATTTTAACTACACAAAGGACTTCTTGTGTGGACTTGCCATCACTCTCATTAGCTGGTTTACTAGCCTTGTAATGGTTCTCATTGTAGCAGTGTTGGTCTCTCTTACTGGACAGTCTCTCTCATGGTATAACCACTTCTATGTTTCCGTTTGTCTGTATGGGACCGCAGCTATACTCAAAATAATATTCATACATACGCTTGCAAAAAGATTTTATTATGTGGTAAGTATAAGGTATATTTATTGATTTATTTTTGCTGCTTGCAAGGATTGAAGACAAACTCAAGTGGGATTCATTGTAATTTATCTTTTGAGCTATTGTTCAGCATTTTTATAAAGAATTCTCCACAACTGCATTAGTTTACTGATCACTTTCTTATTTGAGAGTTGTGATGCAAAATGTAATTGAGGTTATGAAGCTGTATAAACACCATTTAGGATAGTGGTGATGTAAGGCTTGTTTGCACAGCTCTCTGCCTGTGCTGCAGTGTTGTAACTGCTAACCCATCCTGGGCTCATGCAGTGATTTATGTTGTTTTAAAATCACTATTCACCACCACAATATAAGCTTCATGGAGGCAAGGGTTGTTTATTCATTGCTGTCTCCTTTGTGTTTAGGCAGAGTCTGGCACATAGCATTAACACACAGTCTTTGTTGTTGAAAGAATGCTACATTTAAAGTTTTCAGTTTTGCTAGGAGTTTGGTTCAGTTGGTAGCACATTAGGCCCTAAGTTTAAACCCAAGTACAGTTAACCCAAAACAAAAAACAAAACACACACACACACACCCCTCAGCTTTTCTTCCATTTTTTTTCTTAGATGTTTTTGGTGGAGGTTCTGACAACATGCATTTGTACTATCAGAGTTAAAGACACACTGTGAAGGAAAAAAAAGGAAAGTGAAATGGAGATTTTAATTGAGTCATACTGATGTTTTAGAGACTTCCTACATTGTGCTTTCAACTTGTGTTTGATAAAATTAGAAGTTATGGTTATGAAATAACCATGAGTGAATTATAGTAAATGAGAAGTCATAATGATTTTCTAAGGAAATTAAAGGGGAAAATCTTAGCTCCTTTGATTTGAAGACCATAAGTAGATAATTTTTGGTTTTTCCTGATAGGGATTAGAATGGCACATGGAGCATGGTAATCCAGCATCTTTCCCTTAGGATGTTTTTAGTATCTGAACCTCGGTCTCAGTTCCAGTTAATGTGTGGGATGGGTTTGAAGAACCCTTCCATCTTAATCAGGTCTTAGGAAGGTTCTTGGAGATTAGCCATTGCATATGGTTCAGACCATACTTTTATTGTAGTAACTTCAGTTTCCAAAAGAATTATACTGTGAGGCTTATTATTAGTGCAGCTTTTTATAAAAAGCTATTTATATAAATATATAAATAAGCTATTTCAATATATAAGTACTTATATTTATATAAGTATGTACACTTATATTTATATAATACATAAATATAAATGTATTTATATAAATGTATAATATATTAATATCTAAAATACAGAATATAAATATATTTCTATAAATATAAATATAAAGCTTTTTATGTAAACAAATATCGTTGGATATTGTTGATTTTGGCAGGGATGGGATAGAAGGCTGAGTAAAGCTAGGTTTAATATTTAAGTTGTCTAGTTATAAATATTTGGGCTGAAGCTGAAAGCTTCATTTTCATTTTGCAAATATTTTTAAAAAATATTTTATCGTTAAGGTGTTGTACAGAGGAGTTACCATTTCATACATCAGATAATACATTTCTTTTTTTGGACAATGTCTTCTCTTCCTCCACCTTCCCACAGTTTCTCCTCATTTCACAAATATTCTTTTTTTTTTTTTTGCCAGTCCTGGGTCTTGAACTCAGGGCCTGGGCATGGTCCCTGAGATTCTTTTGCTCAAGGCAAGCACTCTTACCATGTGAGCCACAGCACCACTTCCGACTTTTTCTGTTTATGTGGTACTGAGGAATCAAACCCAAGGCTTCATACATGTTAGGCAAGAACTCTACCACTAAGCCACATTCCCAGCCCTTACAAATATTCTTTAAGCACTCATTAGGCTGAGACCTTCTGGTACAGAGATTGTTGGGAATGTACTCTCTGTCTTTGATTTGCTCAAAGTGTCACGTGGGAAGATGCAGAAACTATAGTGTTTGGGTGAAGTGAGGTAGAATAGGAGCAGGAGAAAGGAATTTTGCAGGTGGAGCCAGGAAAGCTTCTTGAAGGAGGTGGTGACATGTGAATGGGATTTTTGAAGCATGAGTAGACATTTACTAGATAGAGAACAGGCTGATAAGTGACCAAAGGTAAGAATGCATATATATTTGGGCCACTATCAGTAAAAAGTCAATTGTAATGAAGACAAAGTAACAGTGAATGAGAAAGAGAGCTGGGGTTTAGTTCTCAAAGTCAATGAAACATCATTAAAATTTTGTTAGCTTGAAAGTTACTTTGTGATATACCAAGAAAACTTGGGTAAGTAGTATAAATAGTAGAATAAATTGCAGTTGGGGAGAGATAAATGTTGATGAAAATATATTTAAGGGATGTTTTATCTTTGGTTTACTTTGGACCCTGAAAGTAAAATATTTTGACTTATATCAGTTTGCATTGTGAGGTATTTGATTTTAAGTATTTGAGTAGCATTTAACTTCAGATTGAACTCCATGAATTATCTTTTAAGAAAAACAAAACCTCTTAATCCTATGTTGAACATAATGTTAGCTGCTATAGCTTGTGTTTCCCATCATGCAAAGGGGAGTGAAATGAACTTGTTCTATAAACACATGACAATAACTCTTAAGCTCTTGAAGTAGGTCCCTTCAAGCAAAAGTACCCTGGGATAAAACAAATGAGAAGGCAGAGGAAAAGGAAACTTAAAAGATGTCAAATTTCCATGTTGGTGTTTATACACAGCTTATACTTTCATGTTTCTATTAATTAAATCACTCTTGCAACTGTTAATGTTTCTAAGTTCATAAATCAACTTTCTTCTGAAGAGTGCAAGGCAATCTTCAGGATTCCTTGGACTTCATGTCTCAAAAACTGTTAAGCGTTTTTGATATGAAAATTTTCTAATATGAAAGCACTGGAAATAAAAGATGGGGCTAAGGGCAGAGTAGCAGAAATGACCAGGTAGAAATAGAAGGATGTAAGGAAAATGAAGCCAAACCCACCAAGGCCACTGCTGCAGAGGGCATGCAGCATTCCTGGTGTATGGTAGTGGTTGGTGCTGCCGCTGAGGATCAGACCACTTTTCTAGCAAAATATTACAGAAATGGGTGATTTTAGGAGACTCTTTTTATTTTAGATCACTTCCAAGGGTTACTTTTAGCCTGGTGATATGAGAAATGGTATTATTGTCACTATAGCTTGTTAAATTGCCCTCTCCTGGTAGAAGGAAAATTTGTTAGGTCTTTACTTGGTCAGTTTTAAGAATAGATCCTGTCAAACAAGGGAGATAAAAGATTATAATTTCCTTGAGCAATGAAAATTATGAGCAATGGAAATTGTTATAATCAATGATCTTTATGAATAACCCATGATTGAGACTTCTTGTTTATTTTTCTTTCTTTCAGAATGTCAGTGACCAGTACCTGGGAGAAGTGTTTTTTGATGTCTCACTGTTTGTGCATTGTGGTTTTCTCATAACTCTCACTTACCAAGGATTTTGCTCAGCATTCATTAGTGCTGTTTGGGTAGTGTTTCCATTGCTCACAAAGCTTTTTGTGCCCAAGGACTTTAAGCAGCATGGTAGGGTATTTTTGATTTTGATACAAATGGAAAAATTCATTAAGGCTTCTAGGAACTTTTTTTTTTAAATAAAAAAATCTCATCAAGTAGGCTTTTTATATTGTCACTGTTTGTTTTCTTAAATTTTCATACTATGTAAATTATATTACACCTTATACCCCATCTCATTCTTATATACTAGTATATGAGAACACATACTAATATATTCTTTGTGTATTTTTATTCTTATTGTATTTTATCTTCTCTGAGTGAAGTACTTTATCTTGGTAGATAACATGTACCTAAAGAGCCAGTGTCACACCTAAACCTACTTTCTGTCAGGTGCCAAGTCACATCATCACTGCAAAATGCTGCTCTGTAGATTTTCTTATGTATGTGTTGTTTTTCCTTCTTCCTAGGTACCCAAGGAAAATTTATTGCCCTTTACCTTTTGGGAATGTTTATTCCTTACATCTATGCACTATACCTCATCTGGGCAGTATTTGAGATGTTTACCCCTATCCTTGGGAGAAGTGGTTCAGAAATTCCACCTGATGTTGTGCTGGCATCCATTTTGGCTGGTTGTACGATGGTGCTCTCTTCCTATTTTGTAAGGAAAAAAGTTTTGTTTTCCATTTTTAAATGTGAATATGTATTAAGCTTAGCCATCATACATGTGAAATAATGTTAATTGTACTTTATTGAGAAAGTCTTAAGCAAAAGTCACAGCAAAGGGCTGAGCATCTTGTGGGTTCAATCTGATAAGAAAAAGTAGATGAGTTTTTGTTGCTCTTGTTGTTGCTGTTGCTTTCATTCTATCTGAATGTGAATTTGAAGATATATCAAATGAGAATTGTTAAGACATTGCCTGTTGATGAACTTTTAAAATAAATACTAGGGCTGAGAATGTGGCTTAGTGGTAGAGTGCTTGCCTAGCATGCACGAAGCCCTGGGTTTGATTCCTCACTAGCACATAAAAAGCTGGAAGTGGCGCTGTGGCTCAAGTGGTAGGATGCTAGCCTTGAGCACAGAGATGCTCAGGGACAATGCCCAGGCCCTGAGTTCAAGCTCCAGGACTGGCCCCAAAACAAAAACAAAAAAATAAAATACTAATGGTGTATTCTGAGCATATTAGAAGTAAATATTAATAAAAAACATAGTAGTTTTATTAGATCTGTTAGATCAAGAGAAGACAACTGGAGTGGTGCTTTTTTGCATTGCAATTCGATTGCCTCATTGCTAACACATCAAAATTAATTAACTGAATCTGTCTCTTTGAGTGATGACCAATGAGGATACTTAAATATATACCAAGTACTAACAGTATAGGCCTTTACATCAGTGTATTGCTTTGGTAGGGAGAGTCTTACCTTTGTTGTTGTCTGTGCTTCTCATCTTATGGGACTTCCAGAGGAAAGAGAAGCTGGTTTATGATGAGTTTCATATCAGAAACCTCAACCATGGTTTGCTTGGCATCACGTTTATACATCTCTTGAATAGCCTGAGCCTTTACAGAAAGGAGGTCTCTGTTTTGTGGCTCTTTTCATTGTCCTTCTTAGGAATTACTTACTGAACATCCATAGTATGCCTTGAGAATTGGTGCTATCAGACCAAATAGAAACTGGAATTATAAATTGATTATATCTCATTTCTTCATGGAGGGGATAGTGAGCCTTTGTGGTAAAAGGAACCTCTGGTTACAGTTAGGTTTTGAAGACCTATGAAGATTAGGAAGTACCACAGCTTTGCTCAGCATTATCCATAGATAACCCCTCAGTGGCCAGGAAAGCTGTCTAAATGGATTTGCATATGTAACCTTCTAGTGAATTCATATGTACATTATTATTTGAGGTTGACTATTCTAATCCTAAAAGAAACCTAAGTATACTGTTAAGATGATGATTCATATCCTTACTGGTATTTGTAGTAGGAGACATGGGATGTTCTAAAATTTTATTTTCTACAGGGTTAATTTCTTTGGGTTTTATTAATAATCTTGCAAAATTCTGTATTTGTCAATAGATAGGTTTGCTATTGTGAAGATTAATTAGAAGGCTGAGACAGGAGAATTCTAAATTTGAGGTTAGCTTGTGAGACTCCATCTCAAAAACACAAAAGAACAACAAAAAGGAGATAGCGGAGTATTGTCACTGTAGATGAAATTCTGATCCAAAGTCAGCTGTGTTAACATACGACCCACTCCCTTATTTATTCCTGAATGACTGGAAGTTAGTGGTGCTTGTAAAGATGACCCAAGTGTGGATCATTTGAATTCTGTGCCATTGGTCATGATCATATGGAAGGAGACAAAATGAGCCTGTGGAAATTGAAAATATCCATAGTCAGAATAAAAAGGATGTGTAAAGTATATTTTTCCTACGTCATAATTTATTAGGGAAACTTTTGGGGAGATAATGACTTTTGAATACTTAAACAATCTCATTTATTTTCATTATAATGTGAAATAACCCTGCTATTCCTTGATGCTGTGTGTTTTTAATTTTCATTTTCTTGTTTATATGTAGCAGTGTGAAAGGTAGTGATTTACAAATAGAATAAGATGGAACCCAGACACATTGTCACTTTATGGTCATCCTTCCTCTTCTCTGATTGCCATTCATTTGTAACTATTATCAAACCTGTTAAGAAGTAGAAGAGGCAAATGGGCCTCCTGATTGGAGGGGAGGACTTGAATGTGAAAACAATAACTTAAAGTGAGATTTTAAGACAATTTTTGTACTAGCTAGCATGATGGCTGCAATTACAGCATTATGATAAGCAGGCTTTTCTTTTTTCTTCTTCTTTTTTTTAAATTTTAACCCAAAATACTATCTCTGTTTAGACCTGTCAGCCTTATAGTAGATGAGAAATGCATTACTTGGTGGGAGATATATTTTAGTAGTGTGTCACTTAGGAGGTTGAAGGGCAGATAGGGATACATGTTTTGCCAATGCGCTGCCTTAAATCCTGGGGTGACTGGTCTTATTTCTGAACTCACAGTGTATAGACAAAGGATCATTCACTTAAGAATGCTACTGTTTTATGGGAGATTATGCAGGATGGATGTTGTAACACTATAGATTAGGAAATGCCTTCACTTATAGTAGATTATGAATAATCTGTAATTCTTTAGCTCCGTTTTTTTGATGGAAATCCCTGAGAATTAGTGCTTTGTTTACTTGGTGTTGATGTGTCATCACATGCTGATAAACTTTCTCCATTGCCAATTAGGCAATACCTGTTAAAAAATAAAAGTCAGTTAAAAAGCCTGCTAGTGAGAATCAATTTGTAATATTTTTATTTCAGATTAACTTCATCTACCTTACCAGAAGCACAAAAAAAACTATGCTCACTCTAACTTTGGTATGTACAGTTACATTCCTCCTTGTTTGCAGTGGAACTTTTTTCCCATATAGCTCCAATCCTGCTAATCCAAAGCCAAAGAGAGTGTTCCTACAGGTAAGAACAATTTTTGTGAGCCATGTGAGATGAAACAAATACTCCTTTATTTGCAAGTTTAATTCTTCAGGAGATTCAGTGGAGTTTCCACAGCATATTAATTTTTATAATCATGTCAGTAGTATTTAGGAAAAGGTATGTTTTTATTTTTTAAAAGTCTTGCTTTGATTTGTCTTTGAGTTCTCTTTCCCTTTTGTGTAAGGCAAAGTAATAATACATATTTTAGAGCTTGTCAGCTATACAGTTTCTATTGCAGCTAGTCTGTTGGTAGAGTGAAGGCAATTGTAGATTATACCTGAGCCAAGTAAATATGACTGTCTTCTGATGAAATCTTTATACAAATGATAATTTGGCCTGTCAGTGGCAGTCTGCAAAACCTTGCCCTATGTAACCTTTTTCTTTTCCTGTTTGATATTCTTCAGGCTGTCAGTAAGGCTATTTCAAGGATAATGGTGTCTTTTCATAGAAGCCTATTGGGCACAAGTCTGTCTAGTGGCAGATGTAATTCCTGTTTTTCTCTACACATGAATTAGCTTTGTATAACATAGAAGGGAAGTTAAATGTAGCATGCATTTACGTTTTTTTCTAGAAGGAGTTCTAATATTGTTGCCTTTTAAAATCTGATTTATACATTCAATAATTTTGCTTTGTTTTTTGAGACAGTGTGACTGTGCTGCCCATGTTGGTCTTGAACTCCTGTGTTCAAGTAGTCCTCCCTCCTTAGCCTCCTGAGTGGCTGGGGCTGCATGCAATCATGTACTACAGTGCCTGGTCAAGCTTCTTCTTCTTCTTCTTTTTTTTTTTGCCAGTCCTAGGGCTTAAACTCAGGGTCTGAGCACTGTCCCTAATCTTTTTTTACTCAAAGATAGCACTCTACCACTTGAGCCACTGCACCCCTTCCACCTTTTTCTGTTTATGTGGTACTAAGGAATCGAACCCAGGGCTTCCTGCATGCTAGTCTAGAACTCTACCACTAAGCCACATTCCCAGCCCCAATTTTTCAATATAAAATTTAAAATATATTTGTACAGTACAGCAAAACATTTATATATTCATTATCCAGTTTGAAAGAAAAACCAGCTGGGCAACAGTGGCTCACATATGTAATTCTAGCTACTCAAGAGGTTGAGATCTGTGGATTGTGATTCAAAGCCAGCCCAGGCAAGAAAGTCTGTGAGATTCTCATCTCCATAAAACTACCAGAAAAGCCAGAAGTAGAGCTATGACTTAAGTGGTAGAGTGCTAGCCTTGAGCACAAAAGCTTAAGGACAGTACCTAGACCCAGAGTTCAAGCCCCAGGACTGGCACAAAAAAATGAAAAAGAAAAATGACTAGCAGTAACTTAACCTAGAGTGTTCTCTTTTTGTTTCTTTAGATCTACATTATTTTATCTATGCTCATACTTTATCTATCTGGGATAAGAATGTGGGTGAATTGGTTGAGAGAGTAGTTTTCTAAGTAGTCTTGTTCTTTACAGCATATGACTAGAACATTTCACAACTTGGAAGGAAACATAGTTAAAAGAGATTCTGGAATATGGATCAATGGTTTTGATTATACCGGAATGTCTCATATAACACCTCACATTCCTGAGATCAATGACACAGTCCGAGCTCACTGTGAGGAGAATGCTCCCCTCTGTGGTTTCCCATGGTATCTTCCAGTGCACTTTCTCATCAGGTTGGTTTATTACTTTTCTGCTTAAGTTGGGGATTAGTTTGTTCTCAAATTCTATCATTGTATCACTATTCTATTAATTTATTATCCTTAGTTCACAAGTCAACTCTTGTTTATAGTTTCTATCATCACAAAATTTTTCTTTAGTACATAAAGCACTCAGGATATAAACTTAAATTTTTCTTTGAACTGGAGGCCTAACTCAAGCGTTAGAATGACTGCCTTGCAAGCATGAGGCCTTGAGTTCAATATCCAGTACCCAAAAAAGTAACCTTGGCTACAGAAGATTGGTCTTTTCATATCTGTCAGATTTTTTTCATACCCAAAGATGTGTTCATGTGGTCTGAACAACATGAGTTATGGATAGCTATCCATTAAAATCATCCTAAATATTGACTCTGCCTTTTCAAATAGAAAAAACTGGTATCTTCCTGCCCCAGAAGTTTCGCCAAGAAATCCACCTCATTTCAGACTTATATCCAAAGAACACACACCATGGGATTCTATAAAGTTGACCTTTGAAGCAACAGGTGAGTCAGATGACAATTTTTTCTTCTCCCCTCTGCTTTTGCTTTTTTTTTTTTTTTGCCAATCCTTGGCTTGAATTCAGAGCCTGGGCACTGTCCCTTAGCTTCTTTTGTTCAAGGCTAGCACTCTAGCACTTGAGCCACACACAGTGTGCCAGTATGGACTGGTTTCAAACCATGATCCTCATAGTTCAGCCTCCCCAGTAGCTAGAATTACAGGCGTGAGCCCCTGGCACCCTGCTTTGATCTTTGCATCTTAAACTTTTTAAGTTGCATGCATGTCTTCTCAAATATATCAGAGTGATTAGCAACTTAGGATGACCTTATAGTATTTTTTTTTTTTTTTGGTCGGTCATGGGGCTTGAATTCTGGGCTTGGGCACTATCCCTGCACTTGCTCTTCAGCTCAAGGCCAGCGCTTGAGCCACAGAGCCACTTCCTAGTGCTTTTTTTTTTTTTTTGAGACAGTCTACTATGTAGCTTAGGCTGGTCTTGAACTCACAATCCACCTGCCTCAACCTCTCGATTACCTGGCTTCTTTATCTAAAAGCAATTAAAGCTGGAATTGATTTCTTAAAGAAATTTAGTAAATTTTATTTTTTGATATTTTCAACTTTTTTGTTTTAATTGTACAAAGGGGTTTCAGTTTAATGTGATATATACATATATATGCATGCACTTTGATTACATTCACTCCTACTATTCTTTAGATGTTATTTTTAGGGCAATTTCAGGCTTAAAGAAAAATTGAGCAGAAATTACAGCCTAGTTTAAGGCTTATTGATTTTGTTTTGTTTGATTTTATTATTGATTTGTTTGTTTTGGCTTGCTTTTCTCTTCCTTAATATTCTTGGATGAACAGAAGTTTTAAATTTTTTTTTTTGCCGGTCGTGGGGCCTGAACTCTGGGCCTTGAGCTCTTCAGCTCAAGGACAGTGCTCTACCACTTGAGCCACAGCACCACTTCTGCCTTTTTTTGCTTATGTGGTACTGAGAAATTGAACCCAGGGCCCCCTGAATGCAAGGCAAACACTCTACCACTGAGCCACCTTCCCAGACCCAGAAGTTTTAAATTTTTATAAAATTTTCTCAGGGTTTCCTTTCAGCAAGAGTGGTTTATATGTTCTAAAACATCTATATCCACTCAAAGGGCACAGACACTTGTTTGCTCTTATGAGCTTTGTGGTTTTAGCTTTTATTTTTAGGCTTATGTTTCACTTCAGATTAATGTTTCTGTATGAGAAGTGTATGTGTTAATGCACTTTTTTATGGCCATCCAGTTGTCTATCATCTATTTATTGAAAAGATTTCTTTACAATTCCCTTGGTGCCTTTGTCAAAAATAAATTGACACTGTGTTCATGTAGGTATACTTGTATATGATTTACCATACTTTAGAAGCTGTGTGTGTATGCACGCACATGCATACACGTGTGCACACTCATGCTAGTTCTAAGGCTTGAAGTCAGGGCCTGGACATTGTCCCTGAGTTTTTTGCTCAGGGCTAGTACTCTGCCACTTGAACCACACTTCCACTTCTGGCGTTTTGCTAGTTAATTGGAGGTAAGAGTCTCATGGACTTTACTGCCTGGGCTGACTATGAATTGCAGTTCAGAGATCTCAACTTCATGAGTAACTAGGATGAAAGGCATGAGCCCTTGGTGCCTGGCTGCTTTTAGAGGATTTATATAAATACTCATAAATGGTACTGTTCTGTTTCAAAATAAGTTCTTCATTTTTAATACTGTTAAATAATTTGTGGAGCCTTGGAACAACTTGATTAAAATGTTTATTTGAATTCCTATGTGAAACCACCTGGACCTGATGCTTTTCTGTAGTTCCTTAACAACTTATTTTAGGAAAATTGGTCTGTTTAATCTTTATATGTTTAATGGATTCAATTTTGTTTTTATCTGTATTTTCCTAGAAACTCTAGTTTTTTTCATTATCAGTTATTATAGATGTTTACAAAATAGTCAATGTGACTTTTGAAATTTCTGCTTAATTTTATTTTATTTTTTGTATATTTGGGCTTATTTCTCTTTAGTAGCTAACCTTTTTCATTAAAAGAGAAAAGATTTAGATTTAAAATTAGGTCTGACTTTTTGTGTTTGTGCCAATACTGGGGGCTCACACTCCTGCTTGGCTTTCTTAACACTTGAGCTATACTTCTAGCCCAGCATTTTGATGGCTAGTTGGGAGACAGAGTCTTTGGGTTTTTCGGTGTGGGTTTGCTTTGAACCAGAATCATCCAGGTTTCAGTCTCCTGAGTAGGTAGAAGACAGATGAGGTCTAGGTCTGTTTTTATTTTGATTTGTTTCATTTCATTTACTTCTTTGTGAGGTTGTTGTTTCATAGACATGGTCTCACTGTGTGTCCCAGGCTGGTCTTACATTTATGATCCTTCTTAACAATTATTGATATAAGCTACTATGCCAAACTTCACCATAAATCTTTTAAAGGAGACATTTTTCAGATGGAAGCTAGCTTGTTAATAACTGAATTTCACTATGATAATTTATTTGTAATTTTGTGTAACTTCCTGGTATTTCTTCTGACCAATACTTGTTTCTGAATGTTAATACTCACCTGAGAAGGTATGTTCTACATTATCAGCATATAAGTTAAAAAATTATTAAGTACTTGTACAAAGAGATTACAATTCCATAAGTCAAGTTATGAGTACAGTGTTTTCTGGTTATATCACCCCTTCTTTTATTCTCCCCTATTTCCCCCTCCAATCTCTACCCTCGTTACATAGTTCTCTTTTTACATAATATACATTTAATATAATGACTGCATTTGCTCATCCTTCCTCAATTCACATGCTTCTCTCTTTTCCCCCATGCCCCAAAACATGTTTCTTCTTCCTGGTATTCATTTTGATAAACAGTTTATTACTTATTCAGAGGAGTTATACTTTGGGATTCCTCCTCTCTATAGTCAGTTTATGTGCATATGCATAAAACCCTATGTTATCATACATGCTTGTATTTTAGGTCTAGTTTTCACATATGGGAGAAAACATGCACTCTTTGTCTGATCCTGACTTATTTCACTTAACTTTTTTTTTCAGGTGCATTCATTTCCCAGCAAATGACATATTATTCTTTCTGATAGATGAGTAAAATTCTATTGTTATGTTTGTGCCACATTTTCTTGATCCTATTTATCTGTGGTAGGGCATCTGGGCTGTTTCCATAGCTTGGCTATTGTGAATAGTGTGGCAATGAACATGGATGTTCAAGCGTCTTTACTATATCCGGTTTTCTCTGGGTAGATGCCCAAAGTGATATTTTATTTTTTAATTCTTATTTATTTTTTTATTTTTTGGGTCCGGTCATGGGGCCTGAACTCTGGGCCTGGGCACTGTCCCTCAGCTCTTCAGCTCAAGGCTAGTGCTCTACCACTTGAGCCACAGCGCCCCTTTCGGGTTTTTTTCTTTTTGCTTATGTGGTGCTGAGGAATTGAACCCAGGGCCTCAGGCATGCAAGGCAAGTGCTCTACCACTGAGCCACCTTCCCAGCCCTATTTTTTATTCTTTTAGGAATTTCCAAACTGCCTTCCAGAGTGGTTGTACTAGTTTACATTCCCACCAACAGCATAATAAGGTTCTTTTTCCCCTGCAACCCCACCAGCTTGTTATTGCTCTTTTTTTAAAATTTACTTTTAGTGTTATTGAGATAATATAGAGAGGGGTTATAGTTACACGAATCAGGTAATGAGTATAATTCTTTTTGAACCCTGTCTCCCTCTGTTCATAGTTTTGAGGCTAGCCAATGTTACTGTAATGAGATGGAGTCTCAAAGTTGTTTTGATTTGCATTTCCTTTATGGACAGGGAAGTTGAGCATTTCCTCATCTGTTTATTAGCCATTCTTCTGAGAAGTCTCTAGTTCCTTTACCCATTTATTGATTGGGTTATTAATTTTGGGGGCTGTTTCTTCAACTCCTTGTATATTCTGGATATTAGGCCCTTGTTGGATGTATAAGCTTTTTTTAAAAAAAATAATTTTGTATTGAGATTATTGTAGGATAGTGATAAAGTCACAAACCTTCACAAGGCAAATTGTCATTATCTTTGTCTATGAAGTTTGTGAATTCTATAAGCTTTGACAATACAATTATTTCTTATGTGTTGGGTGATATGTATAAGCTGTCTTTTTAGCTTAGTAACTATATCCTTTTCTGCATAGAAACTTTTTATTTAATGCAGTCCTGTCTGTCAAATCTATTCGCTGAGTCCCTAGAATGCTCTTCAGAAAGTACCTGGCTATGCCAGGAAGTTCTATGCTTCCTACTTCCAGGAGTTTCAAGATTTCAGGTCTTAAAATGAGGTCTTTTGATATTAGTGCAAGGTGACATATGGATCCAATTGTAGTCTTCTACATATGTATGTCCAGTTTCCCCAACACCATTCATTGAAAAAATATATGTTTTTGGCTCCCTAGTAAGTATATAAGTACATGGATTTCTTTGTCTTCCAGTCTATTCCATTGTTTTTAGGCCTATTTTTATGCCAGTACCAAGCTGTTTTTGTTATTATAGTTCTGTAAAGTTTGAAGTTCAGAATTACCTCCAACTTTGCTTTCTTTTGTCCAAAACTGTTTTAGCTCCTCGGGTTGTTTTTTTTGTTGTTGTTCCATATGAATTTTTTTTGATTGTTTTCTCTATCTTAATGAAGAATGACATGGCAATTTGGATGCTTATTGAGCTCTCCTTTGGCAGTATGGCCATTTTCATGGTATTCTGCCTATGAATGTGGGAGGTCCATTTCCTGGTGTCTTCTTTGATTTCTTTCTTCAAATTCTTATAGTTTTCGCTATAGAGGTCCTTCCTTCATGGTGGTTTATTCCTAAATATTTTAGCGTATCACAAATGAAATTGTTTTCCTAATTCCCTATCTGACATTGTTGGTATACAGAAAAGCTACTGATTTTTGTGGGTTAATTTTGTATCCTGCTACTTTGTTATTAATCAGCTCTAGAAGCATGGGAGTGGAGTCTCTAGTGATTTAAGATCATGTCATCTGCCTACAAGGACAGCTTAATTTCTTTTCCTATTTAAAAAAATTTATTGTAAAAATTTATTGATGTACAGAGGGGTTAGTTACATAAGTAAGGTAATGAGTATATTTTTCTTTTTCTTTTCTTTTCTTTTTTTTTGTCAGTTGTAGAGCCTGAACTCTGGGCCTGGGCTCTGTCCCAAGGCTTGTGCTCTACCACGTGAGCCACAGCACCACTTCTGGCTTTTTCTGCTTATGTGGTGCTGAGGAATCAAACCCAGGGCCTCATGCATGCAAGGCAATCATTCTACCACTGAGCCACATTCCCAGCCTATGAGTATATTTCTTGTTGAATATTGATCCCCTCCCTCATTTTTCTCCCTCTTTTCCTCCACCCCCTCCTCTTGTTTTTTTAATTGGATTATGTCTTCCATTTGCCATATAGTTTTGCCTATGAATTCTAGGACTGTATTGGAAAGGAATGAAGAGAGTGGACATCCTTACCATGTTCTGATTTTAGAGGAAATAGTTTCCACTTTTAGTATAATGGTGGCTGTAGGTTTGTCATTGATAGCGTTTATTATGTTGAGGTATATTCTTTTTTAGCTTCTCCAGAGTTTTATCATAGATGGATGTTGGATTTTGTCAGAGGCTTTTTCTGCAGCTACTAAGATAACTGTGTAATTATTGTCATTGGCTCTGATAACGTGGTATATTACATTTATTTTATTTATGTTTATTGAACTAGACTTGCAGCTCTGGAATGAAACTGACAATTGTAGAGAATGTTTTTTGGATTTGTTGTTGAATATTGTTAGCAAGTATTTATTAAGGAGCTTTGCACCTATGTCCATCAAAGAGATTGGTCTGCAGATCTCTTTTTCATTGAGTACCTGGTTTGGGGATGAGTATAATACTGGCTTCATAGAATGAGTTGGTAATGATCATCCCTTTTCTCTTTCTTGGAAATGTTTGAGGATTACTGGTGTTAGTTCTTTAAACGTCTTACACAATTCAGCTGTGAATCCACTGGGACCTAGACTTTTCTTGTTGGGAGACTCTATTCAATCTTCAATCTCATTGCTTTTTAGGGGTCTGTGTAACTGCTTTCTATCTTCTTGGTTCAGTTCAGGCAGCTAGTCTACCTCTAGGAATTTATCCATTTCTTCTAGATTTTTCATGGTGAGTGCAGGTTTATAAAGTAGTACATCATAATCTTTTAGGTTTCTTGGGTATTTATTATGTTTTTAAAGTCTGTTTTTGTTGATTTGAGTGTTTTTTGTCATTAGATATGGGTTTGTCAATCTTACTAATTTTTGTTTCATTGATTCTATTTTTTTTTTTTTTTAGTCTCTTAATACATTGGTTTTTACCATCTCTGTCTAGTAGTTTTAGGTTTGGTTTGTTCCTGTTTTTCTGTTTTAGTCAGCATATAAATTTTGACAGGTAAATATATGATCTACTTTCTTTTCTTATAATTTTGTTCTTCTATGTCTTCATTTATTTATGTGTCTTATGCTGAGATAAGAATAGAGAAGTTCTGGTCTGTAAAGGTGGCTTAGTGGTAGAGTAATTGCCTTGCATGCATGAGGCCCTGGGTTCGATTCCTCAGCACCACATAAGCAGAAAAAGCCGAAGTGGTGCTGTGGCTCCAGTGGTAGAGCGCTAGCCTTGAGTCGAGGGACAGCCCAGAGTTCAGGCCCCACGACCGACCAAAAAAAAAAAAAAATACAGAAGTTCTTATGTGCAGTCAACATGATTTTATTTTTACTTGTGAGTATATTTAGAGTATTATCTTAATGGCTTCTTTTACTTAATGGATGTTTAAAAAGATGTACTGGTTTCCATTTTCTAGTTGTTTTTTTTGGGGGGGGGGAGGGTCCGGTCGTGGAGCCTGAACTCTGGGCCTGGGCACTGTCCCTCAGCTCTTCAGCTCAAGGCTAGCGCTCTACCACTTGAGCCACAGTGCCACTTCCGGCTTTTTTCTTTTTGCTTATGTGGTGCTGAGGAATCAAACCAAAGGCCTCATGCATGCAAGGCAAGCGCTCTACCACTGAGCCACCTTCCCAGCCCCATCATTTTCTAGTTTTTATAATTACATGGATGGTTTTATCCTTTCCCTCATTTTTGTGTTATTGGGTGTAAGGTTGCTAGCCAGTTCCCTCTTCTGGTCAGTGTAACGAAGTCTAGATTCTTTAATAAGTCTTTATTTATTTTCTTTGGTGCTAAAGATCAACCCAGGGCCTTGTGCATCCTGGGCAATTGCTGTACCAGTTACATCCCAGATGCCTGAGAATGTCTCTCTTTTTTTCCCCACAGAAGCTTTGCTTGTACAAATGGCACTTCAAAGAGTGTGTGTACTTTAAGTAGCTACCCAACAACCCTTGCTCTGAATGCTAGTATTTTCACATTAGGATCAACGTACTTTGCTTATTAAAATTTTTACAGCAAGACAAGTTCTGGTGGCTCACACCTGTAATCCTAGCTACTCAGGAGGCTGAGATCTGAGGATCACGGTTCAAAGCCAGCCCGGGCAGGAAAACTCTATGAGACTCTCTATCTCCAATTAACCACCAGGAAACTAGAAGTGGTACTGTGCTGGCTTGAGCTGAAGAGCTGAGGGACAGCAGGCAGGCCCAGAGTTCAAGCACCACGACCAACCAAAAAAAAAAAAAAATTTGACAGCAGGAACAGAGTAGGCATGAACATGTAAGATTGGTCTACAAACTTATTACTTTTACTTCAAATTTGGTATTTTTGAAGTTAGGTTGAGTGTGGTTTTTCACTTTTATTTTTGGCCTCATCTTCCATTAGTATCTTGGAAGTTCCAAGCGCTTATTAAGTTGTCAGAAAAACTGGTATTTCATTCTGCTGCCTATGTAGGGAAAAATGAGTAATGTTTTTAAGATATGTTACATATCAGTTCTGTCTGCAAAGTAAACTCTTAAAAAATCATCCTTAGAACTTTCATGGTATTTTGTCATCTTCCCAGAACTCCCACATGCTTTTGCTAATCTTCTAAAAAAAATTAATGTTATGAAATTATGACTCATACTACATGAATTGCTAATATCATACAAGAATTAAGTGACACTGTGGACACTGAACACAGGCTTTTTCATTTAAATTCTGACTTTTCTGCCTACTTCATTACTTTGTTGCTAGATACTGAATGTCCAAACTGGTAAGGCTCCCATTTGGTTGGTAGTGAGTACACTTAAAAGTGATTAAGGTTGGGAGCTGGTGGCTCACGCCTGTAATTCTAATTACTCAGAAGGCTGAGATCTGAGGATCGCAGTTCAAAGCCAGCCAGGCAGGAATGTCCCTGAAACTCTTACCTCCAATTAACCACCTGAAAACCCAAAGTGACACTGTGGTCAAGGGGCAGCGCCCAGGCCCAGAGTTCAAGCCCCACAGCTGACCAAAAAAAAAAAAAAAAGTGGTTAAGGCAGGAACCTTCACAGTATACTTTGGGTGGCTAGCTAAATGCTCTTGTTGATGCTTTTAAATGATCAACTATTCTTCCTTTGTATTATCTTACAGGGCCAAGCCATATGTCATTCTATGTTCGAACCCACAAAGGATCAACACTTTCTCAGTGGTCACTTGGCAATGGCACCCCAGTCACAAGCAAAGGAGGGGACTACTTTGTATTTTACTCCCATGGACTTCAGGCGTCTGCATGGCAGTTCTGGATAGAAGTGCAGGTGGGAATATCTTGAAGCTCCATGTGGGTATTTAATGAGAATTTTTGAGTTCAGTATTCTGGGTTCAGAGAACTAACTGATTTTCTGTAGCAGGTCTCAGAAGAACAACCTCAAGGAATGGTCACTGTGGCCATTGCTGCTCATTATCTATCTGGGGACGACAAGAGATCCTCTCAACTGGATGCACTAAGTAAAAAGTTTCCAGATTGGACATTTCCCTCCTCCTGGGTGTGCACCTATAGTCTCTTTGTGTTTTAATATTGTGGATGAGCTCTGAGCACCTGCCTGGTGAATATTTCATGTGGCACAGTTACTTTCCATGTAACATGGATGTTTGTTGATGTAAGTTATTGAATTTTAATGAGTCTATGTTGAAAAAGCTTTGGTTAACACTTTTTAGGCCCAAGCACTGTATTATGGGATAAATCATGAAACAGTGATGCATGGCCTTTTTGACACTTGAAAATGCCTGTTTTTCTGGCACATGTGGGTAATTGCCACTACATGAGTCATTTTATATGAAGCCAGCAAATTCCTTTTACTTCCAGACTCAAGGAAGATGTAGACTTGTCAGATTACTGTTAATGAGATAAGCATCATTTTCCACTTAATGCTCATTCTTTGTATCACAGGGTAGTAAGTGAATACCATTCATTGCTATAACTAATGACCTCCCAATGAGATCTAACTCTGCAAATCACTAGACAAAGATTGCCATAGGACTGCAGAAGAAGCATTGAACCTCAGCAGCTCTAAAGCTGTATTTCTTTAGGCAACTTCTTGTTCCTTTTTTTACTGAATATAAATCTTTTTTTTTAACTGAATGTAGATCTCTGAGATGACCTGGTGTTCCGAGTTATCTTCAAGTTTCTCCCTCACCAAGTTGAGAAGGGTACATTCTTCTAGCTGTATTTCCTTCTACATTTTTACAGGCGGGCTCAGAAAATTGTGCAAGTACAGGAAAGAAATTTCCTTCCTTAGAACACTTGAGTTGCCAGTGTGGGTATTCTGTAGTGGAAGGGCAAGAAGATCAGGAATAGTGGACATTTTATAAATATCTTCATTTCATAGGAGTTTTCTATTATACAAAGTTAATCCTAATTTAGGATATAATTTTATTAATGTACTGGGTTCTTTTATTTTGTAGTCAATTGATTGAATAATTTCTCAGTAACTTACTGTGTAATAGAACTGGCTTCTCTAAGACTTGTACAAGATGAAATCAGTGTACAGATAAGTATTAAGATCTTGCATGATGGCAGTGGTAAGGTCTGATAGGTGCTTTTCTTTTTGAAGACAGGAATGTAGCATGCGAGGTGTAATATAGCAATGCCTTTCTTGGCTTCTAGGTTCATCTGATAGGATTTGGTGAGATCAATGGTAAATTATGCTGTTTCTTTTCCCCATTAAGAGATGTAAAAAGTTACATTGATTTTGAGTTAGTCAGCATAGGCCAAAGTTAGAAAGAAAAGCCATAGACTTCTCAGGTGATACGGAAATGAGAAGTGTTTTTTTAAAAAGTAGCCTTTCACTCTGTCCGAACAGCAAGAGCATGGTCAAATGCATAGCTTATGTGACTTGGATAATGTGTTTTCTTAATTGTGCTCCTAATATTGCCTGATTTATGACTCTTAAAAACTGGGCCCAGGCAAACAGCAGTGCTGAGGGATAGACAACATATTACCTGACTAGCAGTGCACATAGGAATCACTGCTTTTCCTGGACTTTGTGGAAATCTTACCAGTCTCAAGTGCTTCAAGTGTCTGGCTTCTGCAAAATACATCTGTTAGCACAGCACAAATTTTGCAGGGTTTATGGTATTTAAAAAGTCATTATTTATAGAGAAAAACTGGTAATATCTCAATGAATTTCAATATACAGGCACATATTCTTTCTCTGTGGTTAATATGGAATATATGACAAGAAATAAAAGTAAGGCATCATGTTGAAGACACTATGAATATGAAGTTCTCTGACTTTTTACTTTTTAAAAAGAAAAGTTCACCTTTTCTTTTTAATGATCATGGTTTACCTTTGGCTTCTCAATCAAAACAATTCTCTATCAAAACAATTGTTTTGATTTTTTTTTAGCATCATGAACCTTTAATACTGTGCAGTCAGTGACAAGGTATTCAGTCTCAGGTCATGCTAATAGTCTGAAAGGCTTTAGTGTCAGAAATGGTAATTAAACACAATATTCATGGCTGTCAATAAGCACACTTCCTATCATTAGCTACTGAGATTTAACTTGTTAACCACCCCTCACTCTTTAAAAGATTATGACTTACTCATTTCTAAAAGGGTCTTTTTAAAAGTACTAGCAAATAAATGTGTTTTCCCCACTAGAGAATCTAAATTTAACAGCACAGTACTGCATATTCAAGGAAAGTGAAAAATTGTGGTTTCAAAGTAGCTCTTTAAGTGTTTGTTTCCACATTTTAGTGGATATGAATAAGTGTATTAGGATTCCTTGAAGTATCAACATAAAGGGAGCTACAAGCCAACCTGCTGATTCAGGAAGAACAAGTGTGTATGTCTGTTTCTTTTACTGGTTTGATGACATGTTAATTGTTGCCTTAAAATGTTACTGAAATAAATTTTAACATATTTGTTGTATCTTTTTAAACCGAGACATTATTATTTATACTCTCCCATATTTGGAGGTTTTTTCATGTCCACAGTATTTTAACTGCTGCTCTCTAGCTCATATATATAGAATTGCTATTTTAAAGAGTGATATGAGGGAAGAACTCACCGTGGAAATGATCACTTAAAAAAAAACAACCACCTGGGAATGAAATGGTACACCTGAATTTTACAGAAAGTATAAACATGTTCTGTTAGTTGGTAATGTTGAATATCAGCATAGATATAAATCATATGCACTAGGGAGAAGAATTACAAAAGGCCTAATGAACAATTTGATTTTTTTTAATTGGGGAGGGGGGCAGAGTGGCAATAGGAACAGGAAGAAGGAAAGAAACTGGAAGGACAGCACCACCACGCACCAAAACAAGAGCCCATTCTTGTTCAGTGATCTCTGTTCAAAGATTTTACAGAATGTGTACCCTCAGAAAAGTTCAAAAGTTTAACCTGGTTAAACCACTTTCTGTTAAACACTTCTCTTATGTCCAATAAAGCGAAGATGTACTTATGTACAGGTACAATATATCTGTTTTGGTTGAAATTCACACAGAATTTTGGAGTACATCATTTTTTTTTTTTAATGCCAGCCCTGAGGCTTGAACTCAGGGCTTGGGCATTGTCCCTGAACTTCTTTTGCTCAAAGCTAGCAGTGTACCACTTGAGCCACAGTACCATTTCTGGCTTTTTCTGTGTATGTGGTACTGAGGAATTGAACCCAGGGCTTCAAGCATGCTAGACACTAAGCCACATTCCCAGCCTTAGAGTATACCTTTTTCTTGACACTGACTTCATTTGTAATCTTTTGTCTAATTTGATCCTACACCATGACCAAGTAAGATTTGTCCTAGAATACAAGGTTGGTTCAGCATTGTAAAACCAATGTGGCATACTATATTAAAGAACAAAATCACATAACCACCTCAGAAAATATCAGGGTTTTGTGTTTTTTTTTTGGTCAGTCTTGGAGATTGAACTCAGGGCCTGGGCACTGCCCCTGAGCTTCTTTTGCTCAAGGCTAGCACTCTATCACTTAAGCCACAGTGCCATGTCCAGCCTTTCGGGTTTTTGTGGTACTGAGGAATCACACACAGGGCTTCATGAATTCTAGGCAAGCCACATTCACAGCCCAAATTTCACAGTTTTCTAAAAATCCAAAACCCCTTCCAGGATTGAAAAAAAAAAAGTCTCCTTAAACTTAAAAGGGGAACTTCTTTAACCTGGAAGAAGACATCTATGAAAAATGCACAGCTAACATCATAATGACTGTATTGCTATTACTGAACATCATCTTGGTAGATTCAACCAGCACAATTTGGCTTTCTAGATTCAAAAGGAAGAGTTAAAACTACCTCTAGCTGCAAACAATGATCTGTCAGAAATCTTAAGATCAATGTACCAATGGCTCACACCTGTAAAGCTACTTAGGAGGCTGAGATCTGAAAATCAAGATTTGAAGCTAGCCTGGGCAGGAAAGTCCCCATGAGATACTCATGTCCAATTAACCACTCAAAAATTGGAAGTGGAGCTATGGCTCAAAGTGGCTCTAAGTTAAACCCCCTACAATCAAAAAAAGAAAAAAAAATCCTAAGAATCCATAGGAAAAAACTTTGCATCGAATATTGGTGTAACTCACTTAACTATACTTCTATACACAAGAAAACCCCAAAATGAAATAATTTCATTTACATGAATATTGAGAATACTTAGAAATAACAAACTGGGCGCTGGTGGCTCATATCTATAATCCTAGCTACTCAAGGGGCTGAGATCTGAGGATCATGTTTTGAAGCCAGTCTAGCTAAGAAAGTCCGTGAGAGACTATCCCAATAATCTACTCAGAAAAAGCCGGAAATAGTGCTGTCATCCAAGTGGTAGAGAACTAGCCTTGAGCAAAACAGCTCAGGAACAGTGCAATGGCTTCTAAATTCATGCCCCCAAGAAAAGTAACGCTACAAAATATTGCTGAAAAGGCACGTACTTGGATTGGAATATTTAATTCTAAAAGACAGTATTCTCTAAACTGATTTTCAGATTGAATAAAATTCCTATCAAAGTCTGCTTTGTGTATGTGTGTGCCGGTCCTGGGCTGTGATCTTGAACTCTGGGCTGGTGCTGTCCTTGAGCTTCTTTTGCTCAAGGCATATGTTCTACCACTTGAGCCACAGCACCACTTCTGGCTTTGGCTTTTTCTGAATAGTATATTGGAGATAAGAGTTTCACAGAGTTTCCTGCCCAGACTGGCTTCAGAACCTCTATCTTCAGATCTTAGCCTCCTGAGTAGCTAGGATTACAGGCATAAGGCACCAGCACCCAGGGTGTGTGTGGTGTGTGTGTGTACAGGCATAAGGCACCAGCACCCAGGGTGTGTGTGTGTGTGTGTGTGTACAGGCATAAGGCACCAGCACCCAGGGTGTGTGTGTGTGTGTGTGTGTACAGGCATAAGGCACCAGCACCCGGGGTGTGTGTGTGTGTGTGTAGCACCCAGGTTTTGTGTGTGTCCCTGAGCTCTCACTCAAGGCTGGCGCTCTACCCCTTGAACCACAGTGCCATTTCCGGGTTTCTGGTGGCTCACGGGAGGGCAAAGTCTCACGGCCTTTCCTGTCTGGGCTGGCCTTAAACCACGATCCTCAGATCTCAGCCTACTGAGGAGCTGGGATGACAGGCGGGAGCTACCGCACCTGGCTTATCCTCACGTGTGTGTGCGCGCGCGCGCACTGCGTAATAAAAGTCTAGGAACTTTTCTACCTGGGCTGGCTTCGAATTGTGAGCCTCAGATCTCAGCCCCAGAACCGCTGGGATTACAGGTGTGCACTACCAGCCGCGCTAGCCAAATGAGCACATGGATGGCAAGCATAGATCCGTTTTGCATAGCCCAAAGCATGCAGTCATGCAAAGAGGATTCTTGCTCTCGTTGGAGGCCAGTTTTTTCAGGTGAGGGGTCAAAGCTCCGTGGGTACAACATACTCCCCCAATCTGCATTTGGTTCCTGAGTATCATTTGTAAACATGCTTTCTCTTTGCCTGTCGTCTGCGTCCAAATGAGTAACCTCGCTTTCAGCCCTAATTGTCTGATCTTTTGGCACTCACCTCATGGTGAGTACAGATTGGGCTCAGTCTTAAAAAATTTTCTTGTGGTTAATTGGAAATTCATGGAATTTGCTCCCTGGGCTGGCTTTGAACAGAGATCCTCAGATCTCATCCTCCTGAGTAGCTATGATTACAAGCATGAGTTACTGGCACTTGGCTGGGTTTTAAGTTCCAAAATTTTTTTAAGTGCAGAAATTAACAAGTTGGCCCTATAACTCAAGCGGAACTTCAAGAGTATACCCAAACAGCTGTACAACAAAACAAACATGGGCTCACTTCTTGAAATTTCCTACACAACAACCACCAAGAGTATATTACTGGTAGGAGATAAACATGTAAATAAATCATTGTCCCAGAAATAAGTTCATATAATGGAAGTTGATTTTTGACAAGCAGAAAAACCACTCCAATAAATGGTGCCCACATGTTTGAACATCGATTGATATGAAAATCGATCCCTACTAGATCCCTCTTCATATCATAAATAAAATAGAACAAGCATAAATGTAAAAGCTAAAAGCATAAAATCATTTGAGGAAAATATAGGCATAAAGATCTATAACTTTGTATTATTGCTTCCCTAGCTATGAAATCAAAAAGCACAAGCAACCAAAGAAAAATAGGATAAAAAGAACAAACTAGGATTTTTCAAAGGATACCATCAAGAAAAGATTGACAATGAGAAAATATTTATATACCTAATATGGATCTAGTATCCAGAAGATATCACTGGCAAACCAGTGGTAAAAGTATAAATGACAATGGATGAAATGCCTCTAGAGACCGGGGGGGGGGGGGGGCAGAGCTGAGCCTAGGATCTTGGTTGGAAGTTTGTGAGATTCCATGTTGACTAATAGCTAAGTATAGTGGAATGCTTGTTCCCCTAACTCCAAAGTACAGGTGAAGCACAACAAGATTGTAGTCCAGTTTGGTCCCAGCATAAGGCAAGAACCTATTTCAAAAATAACTACTGATGCAGGGGCTGGGAAGGTGGTTCAGTGGTAGAGCGCTTGCCTTGCATGCATGAGGCCCTTCGTTCCATTCCTCAGCACCACCTAAGCAAAAAGAAAAAAAAAGCCGGAAGTGGCACTGTGGCTCAAGTGGTAGAGCGCTAGCCTTGAGCTGAAGAGCTGAGGGACAGCGCCCAGGCCCAGAGTTCAGGCCCCACGACTGGACCCAAAGGAAAAACAAAACAAAACAAAAACCACTGAAAAGCTGGGTGCTGGTGGCTGAAGTTCATAATCCTAGCTCTTCAGGAGGCAGAGATCTGAGGATCACAGTTGGAAGTCGGCCAGACAGTAAGGTCCATAAGACACTCATATCCAATCAGCCACCCACCAAAAAGCCAGAAGGGGATCTATGGCTGTGATAGCAAAAAAGCTCAGGGACAGTGGCCAGGCCCCGAGTTCAAGCCCAGGACTGGCAAAGTGAGTCTGGATGCTTGTGGCTCATGCTGCAATCCTAGCTACTTAGAAGACAGATCTGAGGATTAAAGTTAGAAGCCAGCCTGGGCAGGAAAGTCCATGAGATTCTTACTTCCAATTAACCACCAAAAAACAGGAAGTGAAGTTGTGGTTCAAGAGCACTAGTCTTGAACAAAAAAGCTAAGGGACAACAACCAGGCCACCAAAAAAGAAAAACACCATACAATTTTTCCTGCAAAGATATACAACTGGATAATAATAAAAAGTGTACATTAGTCATTAAATTGAAATATTAATTATACTGACATGCCTATTTCATACACTATATGGATGGCTTTGATCAAAAAGATGAATATTGCTAGTAGAGAGGGACGTCACTGCTAGTGGAAAAATTAGACATTAATTGTGGAAATAAGCATTTTCTCAATAATTTTACTGGTTACTGTATGACCAACAAGTT